AGTGACGACATACTGGTCAGTGACGACATACTGTGACGACATACTGGTCAGTGACGACATACTGGTCAGTGACGACATACTGGTCAGTGACGACATACTGTGACGACATACTGGTCAGTGACGACATACTGTGACGACATACTGGTCAGTGACGACATACTGGTCAGTGACGACATACTGGTCAGTGACGACATACTGTGACGACATACTGTGACGACATACTGTGACGACATACTGGCAAATGAAGACATATTTAACAACTAGTTGGACAGTAGGTGCTATTAATTAAGAAATGGCCGACCACAGTGACGCATGCTCATAGGCGTCACTGTAAGAGTGGAGGGGGGTTAACTCCTAAGGGAAGTCCCCGACCCATATTTTGTTCCTGTTAAAAATCTTCTTGCTATTCCTGCCCACACAAGTAGTGTAGGAAGTGGGAAAAAAGGGTTGTACAAGCTACGGAACACCGTGACATACCAACAACAACAATGTGTCAGAAACCCAAAACATCAGCTCAGACAGAGGTAACACATGATATATCTTGGCACCAGTCAGCTGAATACCTGGACCATACCTCACACATGGATCTCACTACTGTCAGAAAATGTATAATAAACTATAATATACTTGTCTAGCGCAGAAAGTATGATATGATATATGTCTGCTCGTTCGAGTGTATGTGCATGCATGATAATACACACACACATATATATACATATATATATATATATATATATATATATATATATATATATATATATATATATATATATATATATATATATATATATATATATATATATATATATATATATATATATATATATATATATATATGTATGTATAACTGAAAAAATATGTTCGAGTTTAATCTCTAAAGAACAAAAAAAATCTAAAAAAAATTAAATGGGATGAAATTTAAAGATATTAGCCCCGAGATTAATATATTTGTTTGAATTAAAGTGTGCACTTTTGTAAGCCAGGCTAAACACAACATTTAAAAAAAAAAACTTTATCTTCTACATCTACAAAAAATATAAATCTGTCGGCGAACTTGATATCAGTTGTCATCTAAACACCTCAAGTAGCGAGTTGAACGCAGTAATCAAACACCTGATGCGTGTGTCGAGTCTGGTGAAGAAGTTTAGAGCTTTGTTGAGTGTTAAAAACGTGTTAACCTACAATTTTTGATGATGAAAGTAGAGCTGATATTTATATCATCGAACTATTATTGATATTGTTGAAAACGACATATAAGGACTGAATTACACATTTCAACAAATTTGAATGCTCAATGTTGCTTTAAAATTTTAATTTCGTTATTTAAAAAAAATTCTTATGGCTTGTAAAATTACTTTTTTTTATATTTTGTAAACATATTATGTTATTTTAACATCAATGCAATAGATACAATGGTTGTCACTATATATAGATGTATACATATACATGCCACGTGCATATTATCTCCTATATCTTGACCACATCTCTCCTATGTCTTAACCACACCTCTTCCATGTCTTGACCACACCTGTCTCATGTCTTAACCACACCCCTCCCATGTCTCGACCACGCCTCTCCATGTCTTGACTACACCTCTCCCAAGTCTTGACCACACCTCTCCCAAGTCTCGACCACACCTCTCCCAAGTCTTGACCACACCTCTTCCATGTCTTGACCACACCTCTTCCATGTCTTGACCACACCTGTCTCATGTCTTAACCACACCCCTCCCATGTCCTGACCACACCTCTCCCAAGTCTTGACCACACCTCTTCCATGTCTTGACCACACCTCTCCTATATCTTGACCACACCTCTCCTATATCTTGACCACGCCTCTCCCATGTCTTGACCACACCTCTCCTATATGTTGACCACGCCTCTCCATGTCTTGACCACACCTCTCCCAAGTCTTGACCACACCTCTCCCAAGTCTTGACCACACCTTTTCCATGTCTTGACCACACCTCTTCCATGTCTTGACCACACCTGTCTCATGTCTTAACCACACCCCTCCCATGTCTTGACCACACCTCTTCCTTATCTTGACTACACCTCCCCAATGTCTTGACCACAAATATGTGTGTGTGTGTGTGTATAATTATGTGTGTGATAGTGTGTTTATATATAAGCTTGTGTGTGGGTAAGAGTGTATTTGTGTGTGTAAGCGTGTGTGTAAGCGTGTATGCTACAGTCCGGACAAGGTTTTTTAATTACATTGTATGATTTTCATTCCTTAAAACTTTACGACAATTTAATTCCCATTAAGATGCGTTTAACTTTTTTTGCGAAAGATTAGTAATGTCAGTAAAAAAAAATAAGCCTGATCTGTGTTAGAGGGTAGTTTGTAGCTAACGCTAATATGTTTAGACCAGCCTTTTATGTTCTAGTTTTGAACGATCTCTGTTGTGATATGGTACATAGTTGGATTCGAAGTTTGTTAGAGTAAGGACACACAAGTGACATACAAGAAGAAGTTATCAGAAATATTTATTGTTCACATTGGAATACGACATGGGTATTTCGTTGATTGGTTGATGGTATGACAAAACAAGCTAGAGAAAACAAACTGGAATCCAACGGATGTTAACAGCTCGTAGTCTTGGATTTCGCAGATTTGCCCTGCCTTCTCGCACACAGTTTCTTCCAGGCATCTTTTCAGGGGGGGGGGGGGGGCGAAGCCCCCGGAAATTTTTTTTACGCCCCCCCCCCCCCGAACGAAATGAAATTTATATAATTTATATATAGAAAATATATACTTTTAACAGTGTCCGCCCCCCCCCCGAAGAAAGTCTACCGCCCCCCCCCCCGAAAATTTCAAGTGCCCCCCCCCCCCCCCGGAGAAAAAAAGTCTGGAAGAAACACTGCTCGCACAACGTCAACAACAAATGCAGAACTAATTGTATTGATTGAAGAAGCAGTAACAATCAATTTAATGATAGCCCATGACGTTCTGATTATAATCAGCAGCAATAAAACGCGTTTTAACACTCTGAGAAAATGTAGAATTCAAATGCATTGTCAAAAAAATTCAATCAGGATCTATAACTAAATGTGGTCTCTTTTACTGTATGGCTTGGAGCTAGATTACAGACAGTGGAGAATGAAATAAGAGCATGGAAAAAAGTGGTGGTTAGTGGCTTAGGGATTCAAGAATCCGTGATATTTATTTCTCTTTAATATAGTTCAGTGATCCAGGTAAGATGTAATGCAATCAATCAAATCAAAAGTATCTGATCTCTCACGTTGAAGTTGAGAGAATCGTAAGAATCTTACAAAGAACAAGTCGCGTCTTTTTTTATAACAAAACTGGCTATTGAAATTGTACATTACGCGTTAATACACTTGGTTTCTTTACTAAGTGTTAAGAGAGTTATCTACTCACCAATCCAGTACAAATACTTGCGATTTTTGTTAGCGAAAAAAGCACCCCCACCCCCACACACACTCATCACAACCATCTTGGACAAAGTTTGTAGAGCGGTTTTTAACGTAACTAACTTTTTTAAAAATGTTACACAATTATACAATGCACAGTACAATTCGTTTCTTTCTGAGAGCTAAAGGTTGTTTACTCAGAATCCTGTGTAATTTTGCTATTTTATTTAGCCTAAAAGCGCCCCCCCCCCCTGCACCATCTTGATAAAAGTCACTAACGTATTTTACAGTCCAACAATCGTACAATACGTTTTAATACAATTGGTTTCTTTTAATAGTGGTAAGGTTTATCGACTCAACAATCTAGTGTAAATTCTTCCGTTTTAAGTCTCGAAAAAGCGCCCCCCCCCCCCCAACTAGGAAAAGCTTCAAAGCGGTTTTGCCGGTCACTGTTTCTTAAGAGTATATGTTTTACATTAAGAAATCAAGGTAGAAAACAGTTAAATCAGTATGTAAAGGCGTGTAGCCATTACATTTTTTAACTTAGACAGTTTATAATTCAAAACTGCAGCATAAAATCAGCTTTAAAAAATTTTTCCCACCCCTTTTGACGCCCCCATAGGGTCGGCCGCCCCCCCCTAGCTACGCCTCTGCACCTCTCCTATATCTTGACCACATCTCTCCTATGTCTTAACCACACCTCTTCCATGTCTTGACCACACCTGTCTCATGTCTTAACCACACCCCTCCCATGTCTCGACCACGCCTCTCCATGTCTTGACTACACCTCTCCCAAGTCTTGACCACACCTCTCCCAAGTCTCGACCACACCTCTCCCAAGTCTTGACCACACCTCTTCCATGTCTTGACCACACCTCTTCCATGTCTTGACCACACCTGTCTCATGTCTTAACCACACCCCTCCCATGTCCTGACCACACCTCTCCCAAGTCTTGACCACACCTCTTCCATGTCTTGACCACACCTCTCCTATATCTTGACCACACCTCTCCTATATCTTGACCACGCCTCTCCCATGTCTTGACCACACCTCTCCTATATGTTGACCACGCCTCTCCATGTCTTGACCACACCTCTCCCAAGTCTTGACCACACCTCTCCCAAGTCTTGACCACACCTTTTCCATGTCTTGACCACACCTCTTCCATGTCTTGACCACACCTGTCTCATGTCTTAACCACACCCCTCCCATGTCTTGACCACACCTCTTCCTTATCTTGACTACACCTCCCCAATGTCTTGACCACAACTCTTCCATGTCTTGACTCCACCTCCCCAATGTCTTGTCCACACCTCCCCAATGTCTTGACCACATCTCCCCAATGTCTTGACCACACATCTCCTATATCTTGACCACACCCCTCTCATGTCTTGACCACACCTCTCCCATATCTTGACCACACCTCTCCTATATCTTGACCACACCTCTCCTATATCTTGACCACACCTCTCCCATATCTCGACCACAGTTCTCCCATGTCCTGACCACGCCTGTCTCATGTCTTGACCACACCTCTCCTATATCTTGACCACACCTCTCCCATATCTTAACCACACCTCTCCCATATCTTGACCACACCTCTCCCTTCCTTCCCCCCACAGGTGCTGTTGGACCTGGCCCGTGTGATCTTTGAGGAGCAGAGCAATGTGGCCTACCTGATCCACAAGATCATGATGCACACCCAGTCCCTGCTGCAGTGTGAGCGCTGCCAGGTGCTGCTCGTGGAGGACGCTTCCAAAGTAGGTCAATGGTTTTTCTCTATCACATGCAGTCTCAAAAGTAGGTCACGTTAAAACATTTGTCACGTGACTAACTAAAGTAGGTCAATGGTTTTTTCTCTATCACACCCCGCCTCAAAAGTAGGTCACGTTTAAAAATTTGCCACGTGACTAACTAAAGTAGGTCAATGGTTTTTCTATCACACGCCACTTCAAAAGTAGGTCATGGTTAAACATTTTTGTCACGTGACTAACTAAAATAGGTCAGATTTAAACATAGCTATCAAATGACACCCCAAAAGTAGGTCACATTTAAACGTATTTAAAAATACGGCCAAAAAAATACGTCTATGTTGCACGACAAGTAGGTCAGTTTTTATTACTATCAAATGCTTCCCTAAGTAGGTCACATTTAAAAACCACTCTATCAAATGCCAATGAAGGCCAATTTTGTTTTCTAAAAAGTTCGCACTTTCACTTTCACTTTTATTTATTTTCTCCGAAATGTTCCCTGAAAAGTAGGTGACAGCTTTAAAAAAAAATTTCACACGAATGTTTCCCACATACTAACTCCAATCTTGATTTTCTATCAAATATCATATTCTCACTCTATCTTACACATCCTCATTCCTCCCCCCACCCTCCACACCACACCCCCATACAATACCAGCTCTTATTCTACTAATTAGTTTTGAAATGTCATCCTACCGTAGCCCAGTTAATTATGCACTCGCAATCCTGGACTATGTGATTAATTAGACCACTAACAATTCGAGCCTAAGGTTAATTATATCACTAACAATCTTGGAAAATTAGATTAATTATACCACAAGTAATTAAAGCCTTAGGCTAATTATGTCACTAGTTATTATACACAGGTCATGATGTGTAATAATGCAATATATATCTGTTTATTCAAAATCTATAGACGTTAAGTTCGCTAGAAATATTGTCCAATTGTATCTAATGTAGATGTCATGACTTATTCAATCCTGAGGAGCAAAGGGTCGAAGCAACACATTTTATGTGGACTCTGTTTTGGGCTTATTTCAGCCCATGTTAGTCATGTAACCCTTGCTTCACCTTCTACAGTCATTCTCTAGAAATGATTAGACCAATTCACGTTTCTTTTCTCCAGTGGGTTCAAGTCTAACCTAGTATTTATTTAGATGCCGTGCCTAGTAACATTTAATGCAGATGTAAGGTCCAGTAATATTTCATGTAGATGTCATGTCCAGTAGTATTTCATATAGATGTCATGTCCAGTAATATTTGCTATAAATGTGATGTCCAGTAATATTTAATGTAGATGTCATGTTCAGTTGTATTTAATTTAGATGCTATGAAAAGTTTAATTTGATTTCATAAAATCGAAGTAGAGGTATTAAATACATAATACAGCGACAGGCACTTTTAAAATTTTAATAGTTATTTGAATAGAGAGCATTGATATATATTTTTAGAAAGTCATTTTATTTTCTTCTTTTAAGGTTTTTATAGTAAACACCTTTTTTTAAAAATAAAAAATGGTGCTTCATTAGAAAGAACTATATTCTTAAGTTAATTTCATGATATTCTCATTATAAAACGCATGCGCTTTTTGTCTTCGTTCTTGTGACTCGGTGCCTCACCTTTATCGCTGGGAGATAACTCGAGAATTTGGCACCATTTATGGTCGCAAAGTTTGACTTTGTCTACCATCATCACTGCCCGTCACCCCTGCTGGGGTATGGGCCCCCAACTAAAGATCTCCAGAGTCCTCTGTCCTCTGCCATTTTCTAAACCTGACTCCAGGTGAAGCCCATCTTTGTAGTTTCACCTTCAAATTCCCGTCGCCAGGTATTCCTGGTCAACATCTTGTACGCTCGACTTGTGCGTCCCACTTCAATGCCTGCCTAGTATTGTTGGGTTGGCGGTCTGCGCAGTGTGTGACCTATCCAACTTCATCTTCTTTTCCTGATTTCATCTTCATTGGAAAATTGTCCTTTGCCATATGTGTGTGCTGATAGTGTTGGGCCAGCGGATGCTGAGTATTTGTCTGAGGCAGCTGTTTATCCAGATCTGGACTTTATCAATGGTATCAGCCTCCAAGCATCTGCCCCTTACAGCAGCACTGATTTTACAATAGAGTTGAACAGGCGCATCTTGGTTGTCAAGGAATGCTCACTGGAGGCCCTGATGGTCCCTAGCCGTGTGAAGGCTGCTCTTGCTTTATCTATCCTTGCTTTAACATGCGTATCTTTTGTCTGCGATCTAAGATTTTAAATCCTAGACAAAGTCGCACCTGTCATAGTTATGTAGTAACGCCCACCATTGTTGATTTGTCTTTAACATTTTCCCCTGGGAATGTCTTAATTTGCATTCTCATTAAATCCCCCCTCACCCTCTCCCACACACTCACACACTTACACACATGTGTAGGAATGACTCAAATAGCTAGGCCTAAGGCCTAAATTGGAGCCTTTACACACACACAAAAAGACGGAAACGTCAGTAGTTAAAGAAATCAATAATTACGTTCAAACACGGAGGGAGGGAGGAAGGGGTAGGGGGAGAGAAAAAATAACGGATAACTTGAGATATCAAGATGGGGGGGGGGGGGGAGAAAAAAAATAACGGATAACTTGAGATATCAAGATGGCAGAAACAAGAGGACGAAACAAAACACGCGTAATTGTTTTCTCGTCAGTCGTGGAACATGTTGCAGGTACAAATGTTTCTTATCATGGAACATCTTGCAGGTACAAATGTTTCTTATCATGGAACATCTTGCAGGTACAAATGTTTGTCGTGGAACATGTTGCAGGTACAAATGTTTCTTATCATGGAACATCTTGCAGGTACAAATGTTTCTTATCATGGAACATCTTGCAGGTACAAATGTTTGTCGTGGAACATGTTGCAGGTACAAATGTTTCTTATCATGGAACATCTTGCAGGTACAAATGTTTCTTATCATGGAACATCTTGCAGGTACAAATGTTTGTCGTGGAACATGTTGCAGGTACAAATGTTTCTTATCATGGAACATCTTGCAGGTACAAATGTTTCTTATCATGGAACATCTTGCAGGTACAAATGTTTGTCGTGGAACATGTTGCAGGTACAAATGTTTCTTATCATGGAACATCTTGCAGGTACAAATGTTTGTCGTGGAACATGTTGCAGATACAAATGTTTCGTGTATTGGAACATGTTGCAGGTACAAATGTTTCGTGTATTGGAACTTGCTGCAGATACAAATGTTTCGTGTCATGGAACGTGTTGTATTATACAAGTGTAATGGAACATGTTGCATACAAACATTTTTGTGAATTGGAACATGTATCAGATACACATGTTTTATGTATTGGAACATTTTGCAGACACAAATGTTAATGTACTGGAAAAAACAAGTTGCAGATTCCAATGTTTCCTGTATTGGAACATGTTTCAGATACAAATGTTTCGCTACTTGACCCATGTTTTGATATTGTAATTTTTATAAATATTTTTTTTATTGTTTTCTGTAATGTGAAGCTGAGCTGACAGGAGTAAAATATCTTTAAAACCCATGTAGCGTATTCACTAAATTAGATATCATGCTAATACAAACACATATCACGTGAATACAAACACATATCACGTGAATACAAACACCTATCACGTGAATACAAACACATATCACATGAATACAAACACATATCACGTGAATACAAACACAGCACATGAATACAAACACTTTTTACATTAATTCAAAAACGCCTCACGTTCATATCCCATCACTAGCCCAGTCACTAATGATGAAAGTTAATTCTAAAAAACAAAATTTAATTCTTTTACAATTTTTTTTATATTGATTCGTTTCGTGTCGACATTCACAGTTTTAAAGAAACTGCCTTACAAATACATCAGAGCATGATCAATCACGACAACTTTAAGAGTAGAGAGTTCGAAAGTTCTGCGCGGCTAGGTTCCATTGTCATGCGCGCGATTCATGTAAGGAAACACAAAAACATAAAGAGAAAGCCACGGCTTAATTTGTGTTTTTATTTTTTCATCCACTGGGAAGGAGATTTATTAATGCTGGCTTTATGGGCTTTAGTGCGTGGAAGAATTTCTTAGACTTCGTAAGCTTTACATTAAATAGCATATAGATCAATGTATATACACATACACCCAAACTTCATTTTTTTTATAATTGTTGAATTCTGACAGCGCTATGAAATAAAGCTTAATACATTTTTTTACAGATACTGTTTTTTTTATAACTTAAAAACAAAACAATTAAAATAATTCGATAAAAACTATTGCGGGTTGAACCAATTTTTGCTACGGTTTTTTTTAAAATTTTTTTTGCAACTCCTCATACCAAGATAATAAATCGCTGTAGTTGCATTTTTGTTATTCGGTGTGTTAATATTTTTTAATGTTGATTATAATGGAGGAGCTGTGACCGCCAAGGTTGTGGGTTTTTTAGGCATGTGTTTCCAGGTGAGATTCGATCCCCGGACCAGACTGGGTAACAGACACTGAAAGTCACTTTGCGTGTATTCTTTAGTGTTCACAAAAATTGTTTGAAAAAAGTAAATCGGAAAAGGGAAATAAAATATTGCGTGACCCTTGTTTATCAACTTGTATACGTTTTATTTTCTCTACATTTTATAAGGTCGCTTGTTACAAAACACATCTGACCCTAGAAACGACGCCACCTTTATAAGACTACAGTGCGCATGCGCTAAAATGGCGGGTTAGATAGAAACCCCATTACACGTATCTGTTTTAAAGCGCCCATTAATTCATCTTAATCTCCGGTTACAGATCCACCCCAACCCTATCCCACACTCGAATTCCAGACCTGTCCATCTGGATTTATCTCCCTTCTATTTGATGCAAGTGTTGCCTCTTTGAGAAACTAAACACAAAACAGAGCCTAGTATAAAGTGTCTTTGTTGTGTTTGTTATGTCGTAAAACTGGGCTTGTGAGGTGTTGTGTTTGTTATGTCGTAAAACTGGGCTTAATAAGAGGGATCTGGTGTTAGTTGTGTGAAAATATACTCACACACTGAGTTCGATGGCCAGTCTTACAGGCCAGTCTTACTGTGGCCAGACGTACTGTGGTCATTGTTATTGTCCAGTCTTATTGAACATCTCCCCCTTATTGAAGATGTATCTCTAGCCACGACTAGCCATTCGTATCAGTACTTAAATCGCCCAGGTATTTTAATTTTACAAATAATTGAATCTGGCCGCATGCTTAAAAGATTGATCTGGCCAGCCTAATAAACTCTCAGACTGTAATAACAAATATCATCCTAGATGCCACCTATTTCTTTACCAAGCTCTCTGTATTTTGTAAAAAAAAAATTTCTCCGTCGCAGTATTTTATCGATACTGAGGTCTTTAAAATTTATCGTGGCATTACGGTTTCATTTATTTATTTAAAAAAATATCGATCACCATACAATATAAAAAAAATGTGATTCTGACATATTAAATAGAATTTTTTTTTAAAAAAATTCATTTAAAATGAATACGTCAGGATTTAAAAAAAAAACGTACTTCCTGTTTCCTTGGTCAATTCAGAACTCAGCGCAGTTATTTCATAAAATTAGATTTTTATTAGGTTTATTATTATTATTTTTTATATTTTCCCCATTGGTCTTAAAAAGCCAAGAACCGGAGTTGTAATACAGCGCATCAAGATGCCCAGCGGGCTCGTGCACATCTCACTGGGCCCTGGCCGAGTTAATGATACACGATAGTGGTATTGATTGCCTCCCCTGTCGGCGCGGTTGTCCTTCGTGTCGTTAAGATTCTCATTACCCAACACTATCGGCAGCCCATTTCCCCTGGAAATTTGCGCCTCCAGTTATTTCACGATGATAAATTCAGCAAATAGCCCAGAACTTCTTTCATGCAAAAAGTTAGGTTTTTTTTTCTTCTTCTAACATAAAGCAGGATTTGAAGTTTTATTTTAAAACATATCTGAATCTATCATAACTTGGCACATCACTATATATATATATAAATAAATAAATAAATAAATAAATAAATAAATAAATATATATATATATATATATATATATATATATATATATATATATATATATATATATATACATATATATATATATACATATATATATATATATATATATATATATATATATATATATATATATATATATATATATACTAAAGCAACTAGTTGGATATTTAAGAGATGACAACAACAAAAAATGTATTTATACATTATTACTGGAATGGTCAAACAATAAAATAAAAAAAGATTGATTTATGAATTATGACATGATTGTTCTAAATATGTCAATTAAAAAATCTATAAATCTATGAATTATTTTTTGAATGGTCGATGTAAATAAAAGAGTTGATGTATGTTTGAATCATGACATGCTCACACAGAAATCATTTGTCTTATTTACTCAATAGAGCGCAGGATTTGAATCTACAGTTATCATTAATCCTATACAAAAAAAAATGTCCGCGGTATTTAAACACACAACTATCTCTGTGTGTTTTCTTTAAACGACATCTTTTTTAAAAAAAATCCAAAAACAACTACTTTACCAAATAGATTATACCATTAGAGAAACGCTAAAGTTTTTTATATGCCTTTAAATTTAAAATTTTAAAAATTAAATCTGACCCCGCCCCCTCATCCTAATTTTAAAAACTGGCTTTTTTCTATTCTTTTTATGCCTTTCCTGCAAATTTTGCACTGCAATTCAGATAAATGAACAAAAATATCCCCAGCAATACATTTCACTTAATACCTAAATGAAATTAATTACAAGATTTCTTTTTCTCCGGTAATTTTATTTTACTTCTTTATATTTCTATAACTCTTTTCATTTACCTAATACAGAAGTTGTACTTGTATTTTAATCCCATAATGCAACACTCTATTTGATAAATAAAATCACCCGAAAAAAATACTACATAGGAAAGCGATCTTCTAAATTGGAAAATTGTGTCCATCGTATTATGGTACACTGTTAAAACAAAGTACGGCCATTCTCAAGCAGGGAGAAAGGGTGTCTATAACGTGTACATTAGCACTTTCGATTTGAGATAGACAAGCGTATCAGACAAATTTGTTTGACAGACGACAACTTTATCCAACATATTTTTTTAGATCCAACATTTTTTTTTGAGGGACACATTTTCTGACAAACACAATGTTTGACAGATGACAACATTGTCTGACAAATTTACCTGACAGAACACGCGACGTCTGAAAGACATCCAACATGTCTGACAATATTGTCTGTCAAAAAAAACCAACAACAACAACAAAAAGTGGACTCGCCACAAACTTTCCCAGTCAATACATCACCCCTAACACATACATATAGCTTTATCAATGTCAGTTTGACGTCGGGTTGATAGGTGTGGGGGTGGGGGGGGGGGGTCAAACCTGACAGACTTTGATCTCCCAACAGTCATGATTGATTCCCGCATCAATTGGACTCATCGATGACAGCCGGTGATACAGTGTCGCCACTTAGGCTGTATCAATTAATGGGAATATGAAGCCATCGATCTCGGGTTCAATCCCCGTTGCTATGGTGATGATGAAATGCCGCGTCCGTCTTTGTTTAGAAGTTAAAGGTTAGGTTCAGTGTCAGATTTATTGTGGGTTGATGTTTATACTGTCATGTCGTGTAGCATTGGCTCATTAGCAGGGTCCTGGGGAGGGGGATTTCTGTGGCAGGGTTCATGATAAGGGTTTGATGGAAGGGTTTTTGTAGGGTTTGGTGGAATGGACAGGATAGGAATTTAGTGGAAGGGTCATAGTGGGGTAGGAGGTTTAGGACAGGGGTTTGGTGGAAATTTAAAAACAGAAGGTTTAGAGCTTGGGTTCGGTGGAATGTTTATGGAAGGGGTTTGGTGAAAGGTTTAGGGCAGGAGTTCGGTGGAAGGTTTAGGGCAGGGGTTCGGTGGAAGGTTTATGGCAGGGATTTGGTGGAAGGTTTAGGGCAGGGGTTCGGTGGAAGATTTAAAGGCAGGGGTTCGGTGGAAGGTTTAGGGCAGGGGTTCGGTGGAAGGTTTAGGACAGGGGTTCGGTGGATGGTTTAGGGCAGGGGTTCGGTGGAAGGTATAGGGCAGGGGTTCGGTGGAAGGTATAGGGCAGGGGTTTGGTTCCGGATTGATAGCACGGGATCTGTGAGATGATTTTATGAAGAGGTAGCAGTGTCAAGTCAAGTTGTCGGGGTTCGGTGGCAGGGTGCATGGCAGGGTTGGGAGGGTGTTATGTTGTGTCGGGGTTCGGTGGCAGGGTGCATGGCAGGGTTGGGGAGGGGGTTATGTTGTGTCGGGGTTCGGTGGCAGGGTGCATGGCAGGGTTCACGTACCTATGCCTGTGTTGTCCACACCACCTAACGAAACCCTTCTCGTGGGCTAAACCACCACTAACAGAGTAAACACTAATATCAAAACGAGACTGGAAAAATTAGGAGGGGGGGGGGGGGCATTAGCGAGGATATAAACATGATAACACGAAGTTAGGATTAGATGGGCTAAATCGATGCCGAGGGGTCGGTGGAAAAAAAAAATTAATCGGTCGATTTACTACGGGCGTCACGATATTAAGAAAAACTGATTTATTTTTTACTAATCTAATAAAATAAAGCAGAGGAAGGGGCCGTTAAGGTTATTGCTATCTATCTGAGACCTTGCACAACGACCGGGTCATAAAAATAGAGTTGATGCGAAGCGATTTCGAGAAAGCGTGGTATCGATTCTTAACGTAAAGCGGATAGAGAGGAAAAATATTGTTTAGCTTGTTGAAGTGTGGAAAAACTGGCTCTAGGTTGGGCTATTGGGCCTTAATCTTACATGAAATACTGACTCTAGTTTGGGCCTTAATCTGACATGAAATACTGACTCTAGTTTGGGCCTTAATCTGACATGAAATACTGACTCTAGTTTGGGTCTTACTTTGACATGAAATACTGACTTTAGTTTGGGCCATAATCTGACATGAAATACTGACTCTAGTATGGGCCATAATCTAACATGAAATACTGACTCTAGTATGGGCCATAATCTAACATGAAATACTGACTAGTTTAGACCATAATTTGACATGTGATTCGAACATATGCGATGGCTTTTGTGCACTTTCTAAAATGCCATCTGGGTCTAGAGATGACATGTAGCACCGTATCAAAACAAAACCCTGACATTTAAAATATATGAAATTATATTATTTTATTTTCTATGAATTATTTTACTATGTCTTGTACTGTTGTATGTGACTTTCATAAAAGTTTTGATTTTTTCATTGACTTTATCAAACAAAGCTGATATAAGATTTACAGCTGTATCAAACAAAGCCGGTAAAATACAAGAAAGCAGGTTATAGCAAACAAAATCGGTAAAATACAAGACATTAGACTATCAACCAAAATCCAAAAACAATGAGACGGTTTAATTAAGTTTAATTATTACCCACAGGCCCTGTTTTCCCAGGTGTACGACCTACAGGCCTCGGATTTCGACAACGATGACTCCTATAACAGGGAGGGGTGAGTATTGTCTGTGGGGGGTGTGTGTGTGGGGGGGGGAGGGGTGGCTGACAGACAACATTGTGGGTGGAGGGATGGGTGCCGGGTTGGTAGTGGGGTGGGGTGGCTGACAAAGTTTAGGGATGGGTGCCGGGTTGGTAGTGGGGTGGGGGTGGCTGACAGACGTGGGTGGAGTGGAGGGGTGGGTGCCGGGTTGGTAGTGGGGTGGGGGTGGCTGACGGACAACATTGTGGGTGTAGTGGAGGGGTGGGTGCCGGGTTGGTAGTGGGGTGGGGGTTGCTGACAGACAACATTGTGGGTGGAGGGATGGGTGCCGGGTTGGTAGTGTGGGGGGGGGGGGGTGGCTGACAGACAACATTGTGGGTGGAGGGATGGGTGCTGGGTTGGTAGTGTGGGGGGGGGGGTGGCTGACAGACAACATTGTGGGTGTAGTAGAGGGGTGGGTGCCGGGTTGGTAGTGGGGTGGGGTTGCTGACAAAGTTTAGGGATGGGTGCCGGGTTGGTAGACCAAGTTGTTTGTGGTGTGGAGTTTATATACCAACAGAATTCCAAATGTGCGTGCACTTATAAGACTGGGGGTGTTGTGATACAGCAACTCAGTCCCCCAATGTCAACAGTGATGGTTAACGTAATGATCCTAGACATTTAACAACAACCTACCTCACACTCCTAAAGAATCAGTGGCGTAGACAGGTTTATTATGGCGAGTGGGGGGGGGGGGGCAGTAGTTTTTTAAATAATTAGATGCAACTTAACTTTAAAAATATTCATTTTAAAGATCTATGCACCCCCTCCCATTTTGCCTACGGCACTAAAAAGAACTAACAAGAATATTTCGCTGTTTTTAGTTCATAGCCCCCTTCTCCGCCTCTTCTTTTTACTTTAAAAAAATCCCTGATTTTACTAACAAAAACACATGCAAATAATACTGCCTCCCCCCCCCCCCCACACACACACACTAATCTTACGAACACATTCTGAGCTTACCGTCTTATATCGCCAACGTTGATTATATTTTCTTTCGCTGTTATATTATTTGATTATAATTATGATCAGACGCCCCCAAAACGTGTCCTAAATGTATCAATTAGCCAGACTATAACGGGAAAGGTGAAATTATTCCATCTTCTGCCAGCACTTCCTTGTCGCGAGAAATCTCCTAATCTTGGATTAGCCCCCAGCATCACAGAAGCGAGAACGTTTTTAGTTTCCTACAGAGAGCGAAGCCCCTGTTTTAACGAGACGTCCTGTATGTGTGTTGGATGGCATCGTATGCCGCGATAGATAGGCGCTAGTTCCTGTTGTTGTTTATCATATCAGGAAAGTTATCCTTTTGGGAACTGACGTTCTATAGGGCAGAGGAAGTAGAGTTCATGTTTTTTTTACTACGGCTTATGAAGGGGGGGGGGGGGGTCATTATGCCCAGCAGCTTTCACTTTCCCTAATGTGAGTCCGGTAACCATCAGAGCTGGGTGCATGCATGGAGGTACCCATCTGTGCTGGGTGGTCTCAGGGACGTCCTTCACACTCAAGACCGGACCAAGATCCGAACTCTAAACCTTCCGATTATTAGTACCACCCGACCACCCCACCCCACCGTTTATCATATACCTCAATGGATAGACGATAGTTCATGCAGTTGTTGGTGGTTTTTTAATCTATCACAACGTTACCACCGTCTTTGTCGCTAAGACAGGGGTCAGGGTTAGACATGACCCACAACCACGTTTGGTGGAGTTTTGAAACTGTCGGTCGATTAATTAACTAGATCTAGACCAGTGGTTCTTAACCTTTTTGTAAGTACCGAACCCCACCAGTTTCATATGCGCATTCACCGAACCCTTCGTAATAGTTACTATCGTGCACACTGACAAAATCCGATCGTGAATCATATGAGTCGCGTATGTGTCTTGACCTTCACCGAACCCTTAAGACTAACTCACCGAACCTCTGGGGTTCAATAGAACCCAGGATAAGAACCACTGATCTAAATTATATCAACGCGATATGAATTATAATGAAACGATTGCTGATTTTAATAGTGAAACGCGTTTAAGACATTGGACACTTGGTTTCAGAGTTCTAGTCGTCGACTATTGAATATGATGATACCAAGATAACAAAAATATTTAATATTCTTTTATTAAACGTAAATTTGAAAGGTAAAGTCTATTACCGTTAAAGTGCATTAGACGCAAGTGTTGAAAGAAATTCAGCCAAATATTTGAGCATAAAAAATAATATTTAGCGGAGAAAAAAATCTGAAATCTTAAAATCGATGTCCCACGCCCCCTCCAAATATTTTTGGAGCTTTCTGGAAATTGCCAGAGGTGCCACACGACCCTAACTGGTGGGGGGAGCCATGTAGTGGGTGGGACATTTGTAAGGAAGCCCCCCCCCCCTTCCCGTTCTAGGTTCTTGTGTAGCTGGTGGAGTTAAAGATTTGAAAGGATGGCCCATCTGTTGTAGGTTGTTGTATAACTGGTGGTTTAAGATTTGAAAGGATGGTCCCTCCCCCCCCCCCCCTCTGATGTAGGTTCTTGTGTGGGGGTGGAGTCAAAGATTTGAAAGATGGCCCCCACAAGGCAGCAGTTCTTTGATTTTGAAGGTTTCTCTCCTAAACCTGCCCACGTGATCGAACTCGTGACCTTTTGGTTGTGCAACCATGAGCTTTACCGACCCGACCACGCCAACCAATTACATACCAATTGGTTAAAATTTAGCACTTGGTATTACTTGAGACTCCTTGGGGACCCGCCTAGTTCCCCGAGTCCACGGACTCCGCGTCACTGACCCCTCTGTTGTAGAAAGTTTTTTATGTGCTGGGGTTCAAGATTTGAAAGTATAACCAGTTTCTTCCAGGCATCTCTTATGAAAGTCTGCAAGAAACACTGAGAATAACTCGAATCCAGAGGTACTCGTTACCTTTGATTAGAAGAAAGAACTTGCTCTGACCGTTAGACCCATTTCGGACCTTGGTGGATCCGATGACATCATACAGTTTATAGAGACATTATGGCACCATCGGCCAACCGAATCTATGAGAACAGAACCTTAGGGATATCAATCATGTGATTTACCACTTGACCAAGTCCTTCAGATAATATGGGAGGGGAAGGGGGGCCGCCATTATAGCTCCGCCTTGCAGGAAGTGTTAGGAGCCAGAATATCGCGGTAGAGTGGGGGGGGGGGGGGGAAAGGGTGATTACTTTAATCCTATGGTTGGTGAGGTGGGTTGTTAGTCAGGTGAATGGTTGGTTAGTATGGTGGTTGGTGAGGTGGGTTGGATGGTTAGTGAGGTAAAGGGTTAGTGAGGTGGGTTGTGTAGTTGGTGAGATGGGTGGTTGGTGAGATAAAGGGTTGGTGAGGGGGTGGTTGGTGAGGTAAATGGTTGGTGAGGTAAAGGGTTGGTGAGGGGGGTGGTTGGTGAGGTGGGTGGTTGGTAAGGTGGGTTGTGTGGTTTTGTTATGTGAGTGGTTGGTGAGGTGAATGGTTGGTGAGATGGGTGGTTGGTGAGATGGGTGGTTGGTGAGGTAAAGGGTTGGTGAGGGGGTGGTTGGTGAGGTAAAGGGGTTGGTGAGGGGGTGGTCAGTGAGGTGGGTGGTGAGGTGAAGGGTAAGTGAGGTAAAGGGTTGGTGAGGTGGGTGATTTATGACGTGAGTGGTTGTGGGTGGTTGGTGAGGTGTTCGTTAAACCTTTGTTTTGTCCTTACGTATCGGATTATTCATTACCATACTTAATTTCAAAATTTCAAAAATTAATAACACATGATCCTATTAAGTTACTAATTATTTCACATCTCGGCTGGCCCTAATTTTAGATGAAGTTAATAAATAACTGATGTTTTATTCCAGTGTTAACGAGCCAAGATTTCCTCTCAACATTGGCATCACAGGGTACGTGGCAGCCACAGGGGAGGTAAGAAAATCTTGATGAACTTTACTGAAGGTATCAGCGATACATCAGGCACGGAGAGGGGTATAAAAGTATAGACCTGGCGAATAATTATGTAGAACTACATTTTTAACAGGTTGGAAGAGGGCGTTGGTTTGACAACACTTTATAAAAGTATTACAGTTTACTATTTAAATTAAACAGAATGAAAAAAAAAATAGAATCTTCTTTAGACCTAGCGATCCATTGCGCAGATGAAGTAGATTTCAGAGGTTCTTGACATCGGCATATGAAGGGAATTTGTGGTCACCACTTAGCAGAGCCTTTACTTTCCTAACATGAGTTAGGTACCCATTAGAGCTGGGTGGACAGAACACTTTATATATATATATATATATATATATATATATATATATATATATATATATATATATATATATATATATATATATACATACATAAAATGGGCATATATCTTATAACTTCGGTTTGGTTGTATGACCCCCTTTATTGAATTGGATTTATTAAAAATCCAAATTTTTTTGCATGAATTTAAAAAATTAATGTTTTTCCACTTAAAAAAAAATATAAATTTCTCAGATATTGAATATTCCTGACGCTTATGCAGACCCGAGATTTGATCCTGAGGTATGTCTTGACGTAGTTATTCGTTCTATTTTATTAGCTTCGACCTCAGTTGTGATTTTTATTGAAACTCTTTGCAATTTTAACTTCATATTAAAGTATAGCTGCAACTTTATAGCATGTTGCTTTCTGCTCATCAACGCTTATTTAGGTTTTGATGTCCATAAAAAATATTGTATTATACACAATTTTAACCGTAATATTCACAAACCCCCTCCCGCAGTCAAAGTAGTGTAGTCCTACTTATGCCGCACTTATGATCCCTCAAAACAAAAACACTCCTGTAGAAAAACTTGACTGGCCGAGGCAATTAGATCTATTTGGTTTTTAGAAAGAAGCTAAAACACGAGAATTTACATGTTTGCATTGATTATTTTTAACTTATTAAAAAAAAAACCTCGAAAGGGTAGAAACAAACCAGTGTGTTAGTGTTTAGATTTAGCTTGTGTTAAAATCTAAGCTCCATTTAGATCTAGATCTAGCCCCATCATGTCAGATCAGTGGGTAAGACTGCAATGTTCCCTCTAAGGACCAAGAGTGTGTGTGTGCAAAAAATATGTAGTGTGCGCGGTGCTAAAAATGACTTGGGCAAGTTAATATGTATTTTTAGTCTTGCAATTAAGCATAATAATGAAGGCATGCATTTTGATAAATTAATAGTATAATGTGTGTAACTAATGAAATGTATGCAATTAAATAGAGATACGAATACCATCAAAATAAAAAAAAACAACTAATAAAAACTTTCAGAGTTATACTTAGACAACAAGTTATATGGTCGACTTACTATGTTAAAGTAAGACAGTCATATGGTAATAATGCTAATACCATAACGGTAATACAAACACAATAGTTTAACATATGCAACATTTAATAAAGCTGATTTAAAAACAAATATTAGCTAACCTTTCAGGGGCATTTATTGCAATTTCTCGCGTCTAACCTTACATTGCTTCCACACCTTATATGCTTTGTTTAAATCCACATCCTCTCCAGCATTGAGATATAATTTAATTTGCATTAGATTCTCCAAATGTGTGGCTTCAAGTCTATTTCGTGCTTGCACTTTTATTATGTTAATAAGGCTAAAACCTTGTTCGTAATCAGCACTGCATGCTTGGAAGGTACAATAATGTTACTTAACTTTGCCAGTGAGCTAAATTTTGTTCTTTGTTTTGACAAATCTTGCATATTCAGACATATAATTTACAGAAACAGATCTGAGTTTTTCACTTTATCGAAATTTGAAGTCGTTGTATTGGGTGGTAATTAACTGATCATTTGTTGTACGTAACCCGTCTTTGTACTTTACGCACAGTTCTTTGATATCTTTGACGCCAAATTCAAATGCACATTTTTTTTAAACCTGTAGAATAAAAAAGATGACCAAAACTGCAGTTCATCTCCTGGAAACCTAACATTTAAATGGTCGCAGACTGATTGTATGCACTGTGTGGTTTGCCTTGTGTCGATTCTTTCGTTTAACTCACACTTTTCTTGGTTTTAATGTTCAGTGCAGTGCTGTGTTACGGCTGTCTATAGAGCTAAGGCATCACTTACAGTAGGCTGAGTTATTCCACTAAAAACGGTTTTGTAGAATACAGAATTGACTGGACGAAATTTAAAATAAAGGATTAGCATTTTATGTACTGTTATGCCATCAACTATAAGCGTGTGGAATGATGCTGCTCGAAGTTCTGTCAGTATGTTCTTTACAACAACATCGTTGATTACTTAAACAAACTCAAAGTCGTATTTCTTACTTCGCCAACTGTCTGGTATAGAAACATACTTCCCATTGTGTTTATGAATCAGTTGTACCGACAGTTCATCCTTATGGTAAGAAGAACATTATATTTATCCGTTATGATTTGAACTTGATCCTCGTTTGATCGCTGGCGCTCGTTTTGCTCAATTAGTTTTCCTCACTCAGTGTAAGTTTCAACCAGCAGACGTTTAAGGTCAGTTCCATGTGAGCGGTTGTACGAAATCGCAACATTTCCTACGTAAACACGAGACAATAAATGACGTTTTCAGTAGTCAAGCGTCCATGATTCCCAGAGCTTTCCTGTGACAAATTCGTTGCTCTTGTTGGTTTTGTTACAAGTAGTAGCAGCACAGAACTTACACTTCAGTCCAATCTCATCTGAATATTCGTAGATACTTTCTAATTCAACCGAAACATTCTTTGATCTGGCGTATCGGTTGTTACTTTAACTTTGAGCCATTCCAGTTTAAACGAATCTATCGCTTTTTTGTGCCACATTGTTGTACTGCTTGTTACACACATTTTTTCCTCAACATTTTAAAATAGCACACAGTAGTGGACATTTATTCCTGATTTACCTAAGCAGTGTGTGCATACTAAAACATTTCGATCCACATGCACATAATAATCCCAAGAATCGGATATATAATATATAAATCTTTAAACCAAACACAGCAAAAACATCCACCTTAAGTAACGTAAAACTTGCAGCATCTGACTTGGCTTAATCGTCAAAGTTTCAAGATGGGGAGGGGGGGGGGCAAGCGACGATTTAAAAAACTTGCAGGGTCAGCTTCAATACAATGCAGGTATTAGATGTCAGCTGCGGTCAGCTTTTGGGTAAACCATTAAATCAAGCAATGGGAGTGTCACACAGCCCCGCTCAGGTGAGAGTTAAGTCATAAACTAGACCTGTGCTATGACAACCGAGGTCACCCCCCCCCCGTCAGTGATAACCGTAGTTTCTGTTTATACCCCAAAACACAAAGACTGTTCGTTTAACAAAACAGGCACTAAAAATGTCGCTTAATTCAAACCACTGGCCACAATTTTCCTTGTGAATCAGGCTAGCCCGACGTTCTGATAATCTGTGCGCAGGGTCAGAAAATGTCTGCGCGGCACATTTCAAACTACTGCGCGGCCGCGCAGCCGCGCAGCTTAGAGGGAACACTGTAAGACTGCACAGCTAAATACCACTAAACGACTTTTTTTTTGCCTTGCAGGTAGATAAAGGCACTGACTTTCACACACGAGCTATACTGTGTATGCCAATAAAAAATGTGAACGGGAAAGTAATTGGGGTCAGCCAGCTGGTCAACAAGATCGACGGCACAACCTTCAACAAAAACGATGAAAATTTATTTGAGGTCAGTTGTGTGTATGAAGTTGAACCGTGTGTTGTAGGCTATATTGCATTTTAAGGTCAAGGTTGATAAACATCTTCTGATGGCGGTGGTAGTCTAGGCTAGGCTAGTTGATAAAAATGGCGTAGACGGATAGATCTAGATCTAAGAGTGTCTAGTTTTTTACCAGGGGCGTCAAAATGTGTAGATTATAGATCTAGACTAGCTACACCACTGGCTAGAAACAATTTAGATCTAGATTTCTAGATCTATTTTAAGGGGCCTATGTATTTAATAGTATTTAGTATTTATGTATCCAGCTTCAGACCGGTGGCTTTTTTGCCATAAAAGTAAAAGAGTTCTTGTTAGTGTTTTGGCTCGCATTAATTTGAACAAGGCCACAGAACGACTGTTTGATTGATGAGTAAATTTTTTATCATCTGGTCGAATGTTTACAATTTTTAAGTTTCCTAACCCGTTTACCCACACATCGAGAAAAGATTTTGGTAAAATCTTAGTTTAGCGTCGTAAATTCGGCCAAAACTAGTAATGTAGGAGAGAGTGAATTAATGAATATGTCATTAAATATGAGTATATTTTCGTATATTTTGATAAAATATTATAAATAATTGAATAATAGATCACCGTTTATGGTTAAATCAATTTAAATATCCTGAAATTAATTTTTATCAACCCTGTTCGAGATAGTAAATTTGCTATTAAAAACAGCAGCCATCTTAAGAAATTGTTATTTAGAGTAGCTTCCCTTTTATTTCTATTCGTATGAAAATGTATTTAAATATGATTGTCTTGTTGTATAATCCGTATTACAAAGCATTTTTTTTTTTAAATTCTGCTCTTTAAAAACTGAATTTCCTAACAAACAACTTTATTAATTCTAGAAGCATTGTGAGATGCAACTTGTATTCATGTATTAAATCACGTTTTTTTTTACTAATGTTAATTTGATCTTTCTATTACTATATAGATTCTAGTTTGAGTTTTTTCTTATTGTTTGAATGTTCACTATTTTCATTTCAGGTTTTTCTTTTCATCAATTAGTGATTCTATCTTAACTTATGACATTTTTTGCTTCTCTTTACCTTAATTAAACCCCAAACTCCGTCATATTTTTGTTGTCAATGTCACAAGTCATAATGTAAAAAATTACGCTTCACTCTGCCTTATCTAAGATCTCTAACCATAATTTTGACAACATTAAATGTTTGTCATCATTTATATATACAGAGAGACAAAATGTATTATCCACCAGCTTCCCTCGTAAAACATCATCTAAAACAATGAGCCAGTCCACCCCTTAAGTGCGTGTTGTCATTATGGTCGATCGCAAGTCTCCACCTGCCAGACACATGTTGGTTATCCTTTGTTGTCAAATTGTCAATATCAAGTACACAAGTGAGTGATATGGGGTTGTCCATAAATGATGTCACATATGATTTGCTACGGGAGTGAGTGAAGATTTGTGACGTCAACTCAGGCGGCTCCGCAATTTATGACGTGTCGGTCTCATGAAAGGAGGTGAACGGGGAAAAATACCTAGGTGGTTGATGGAGAAACTCTATAATGCTTTGTTCGATCAAAATAACGATAAATAAGCATTGGTATACGTATACCTTGCTTAAAACGAATCATCACAAATGTTGCAAGCCTGCTAGTTTAAGACATTCGGCAAAACGGCCGCAACACATTATCCCCGTCAAAAAGGCTTGCCACCAAATGCCTGCCGACGAATAAGCCGCGTCTAATGCGGGGCGTTAGGAATACTGCCATTAGCATGGGCCGCGTTAGTAGAGCACCAGTAGGCTATCGCGCTTTGTAAGATGACGTAAATACTTAAATTCAATTTCGCTAAACTGCGCGAAAATTTAGTAATGTTCCATCGTTTGAGGAAATTTATTTTCTTGGACTTAAATTGAAATATCATGTTGACTGTCTGGCTCTTAATTTCCGAATATCACTTTTAATGTATCAAGATTCAGAACTATAATTTACTTTAATATAAGTGTCATCTTATCGTTTATTGTGGTTTTTATAAAGCGCAGAGCAGCTACAAAATCGGGCGGCCATCCTGTTTTCACCAAGCTTCTTTTGGAGCTTAATATGGGTAGTCTAGTTCTATACGGTGTGAGCTTAATACATTTTTAAAGGGCCGAAAGTCTCAAGACAGCAAGCTTGCAGAAATAACTACGTACGTTTAAATGGACGAGTGATAGATGTGTTAGGGCTGTTTAATGAACACCAACTTATGTAATCAAATTAAACGTCGCAAAAGCGTCAAAAAGGCAGTGCTTGTTGTTTTTTTTTCTATAAAATTAGCCTAACGGTCGGCGGTACCGCTACATGACGTCACGTACGAGCGTTAACTCGGTGACGATCTGCTAAGTGGGGGAATGAAAAAGGTGGGGTTCAAGAAATGCGACTCGGCAAGCTTTTTAGATTTCTTGACCCTTCTTAATAGTTCTTTCGTCCCCACTGAGAAAATGGATCACCTATGAATGACGCGTCATACTTCTACAGCTGGTCTTTCTCCCACAACCATCCCGTTTTCACGAAAAAAAAAACCTGACCCGTCTCCAAAATCACATCGCTGAGTTCTACTCAACCTCTCCCCACCACAAATCACTATTTCTATCTGAAACAATATGTTCATATGTTTGCTCTGTAATAATACACGCTATCATTACTATCTTAAGAGCGACGTCATTTATGAGCGATCTAATATTGATTTGCTTACTGCAAATAAAGTGTTCACAAGTTCGACCTCCCAACAATTGTTGTGATCTTGGATGCACACTATTAAGTCTGATAAGATCTATTAGTCATTCATGTCAACTATATTAAAAAAAAAGAAAAATTACTATACAGGGGGTCATCCATAAATGATGTCACGCTTTTTTTGACGATTTTTACCTCCCCCCCCCCCTCCCCTCCGTCACACGTCGTCACAAAAAGCCAGACCCCCCTCCCCTAAAATGACGTCACACCTCAGCCTACAACCCCCCTCAAAATTGCAGTTGAATTGTTTTTAAACAGCTATATTTTTCCAAAATCTTGTCTGAACTCTGTCAAAATAGATTATTTTAATCAATTGTTATTACAATGTATTAAAACAGTTTTTTAAAACGCAAAATAACGTCTGTAATTCGTTTTGTAACATTGCTTTTTTAAAATGCAAAAGTGTGACGTCGCACCATCTGAACCCCTCCCCCTCATCACACACCGTCATAAAATTACGGACCCCCCTCCCCCCTACGAGTGTGATGTCATTTATGGACGACCCCCCGGCATATATTAAAACAATACAAAACAATCATATTAAACCACAAAATCAACACAAAAGACATGCGAATAGACAATTTATTGTTTTTAAAACATGGCCGCTGCTTGTATTTACTCATTGTTGTCTCGAACGGGGTAGTTTAAAGTTTATTCCAGGATATTTATGACTGGTTTGGTCTTGGATTGTGATTTGTTATTCAATTATCTGTTATATTGTGTAAAATATGACATAAATATGGCCAAATGAAAGAAATATTAATTAGTTACCTTCATCGCACATTACTAGCTACGTTGGAATTTACGACGCTAAACTAAGATTTTACCAAGATTTTTTTAATGACGAAAAATTTTACGGAGGAATTAGTGAAATTAGTGATTAGACTCAGATCAGTAGTCACTTCAGCCTATGGCAGGGACGGAACTACCTTCGTAACATTGCCGGCAGACCCCGCAATGGGGGGGAGGGGGGCGGGCAGGACGTTCTGTTAGGGGCCCAATTCCGACCAAAAAAACAATGAATTTATTTTTCTTTTCATAAATAATGTTTTGCGTGTACCTTGATAGTGGTAAAAAAAAACAACAGGTCTACTATAATACTATATAACTATAGCAGTGATTGTTCTGCAGTAGCTAACCCACACTGTTGCGTAGAAAAATATTAATATTTTAAAATCTACAAGAGCTGTAGTTTGTAAGATAGGCAAATGTTCACACTACTTCCATGTCTTACTGCCCTTCTTTAAATTGGGGTGCCCATAAAGCTCATTTAAATAGTTTTGTTCTATGTAAATTAAAAAGCAATTAATTCTCTAAGTTATTAATTTAAAATTTAAATACCAAATACTAAAAAAATCATATAGATCTAGTAAAAAAAATGAATTTTTTCAAAATTAATAAATAAACACACAAAAATAAACATACGTGAGAAACCATAGCACAAATCAAGCTTATGTGTTTATATACATTTGCCCAGCTTGCCTTTTAATTAATATTTCTTTTCACAATTTTCGCTAAACATGAAATGCCATTCAAACAATTATAAAACACGATTATTTCAGGTCCAAAATGAGTTTGGACATAATTTTGTCTGGTTTTTTGTCTCAGGGTGGTTGTACATTGCAATCAAATTGATTAAATTACTCAGGAAATTGATTATTTAGAATTTGGTGACGCTGTCTAATAATATATATATATATATATATATATATGCATTGGGAAGCCCAAAAAATTTTTTTGCTGGGGAGCCTTTTTTTTCTAGTTCTTATGGCCTAATCTATACTAATTTGTTACTAGATCTAGATTCTATTACTTAGATCTACTACTACTCAACTACTGGGACTATCACTGTGAACTAAAGTCATTATAGTAGTATAATAGAGGGGCTACACATGTTAGCTATTTTTTAAATCTAAAGATCTGGATCTAATCATAATCAATAAGTAAACAAGACTGATCAAAATTATGCTAATTAATAAATTAATATAGATCTACTAATATTAGTATTACTAATGGTTTAATTTGTAATGAATATGTGACAATTTGTGTACAGGCTTTTGCCATCTTCTGTGGTATGGGGATCAGCAATACACAGATGTACGAGACAGCTGTCAGGGCTGTTGCCAAGCAACGGGTGGCCTTAGAAGTAATGTCCTATCACGCCATAGCACCGGAAGAAGATGCCCTCAAGCTAAAGGTGGGCATGTTTGGCATTTTACTTGTGATGTGTTTGGTTCACCTTAAGGTCAAGTTCCATAAATTTCCTTCTAAGGGCGTCTTTTTTTTTAAGCAATAAGTCTAATGGTGCTTTGAAAGATATAAGATGAACTCTGTCTCATTAGGGTAGTGGTTTATAAATTGTTTTTAAAAATAACTTGATTGAGTATCTGACACAGATCTAGATATAGACTAGGTCTCTCTTGGGAATTTACTTCAAAAGGAAAAAAGTCTTATGTGCTTTGATGTAAGCCTAAAAGATAATGAACATATTACAGAAATATAACGCAAACATGTGTTAGTTTGACCCACCACCCCACCCTATACAGTGTTATATCAAAATTTTGCAGACTTCCACACTCCTCCATTACCATTAGGCCCCTATAGATAGATCTACAACAAATCCTGAACCCTGCATACACACATTTTTATAAGTAATCCTGAACTTCACAAATTACTGTTAATAATCAGGTCCAAACATACCCCAAAATCTTATTAATAATTATCATACAGCACCACCAATAAGTATCATACATACATACAATTGGTGAAAATCTGCAAGAAATAAAACAGAACAAGAGGCGAAATTTTTAAAGAAAGCAAAAAAGTAAATAAAAATAATAGTGTTATAATACAGCTTTTGACAGCAGTATGACAAATAATAACCCCCCACCCCCGATCCTTTTGTGTTTTTAACAAGTAAATAATTCTTAATTATTAAATCACATAACTCTTTCTGACGCAGAATATTTTTTTTATTTTAGCTTACCGTTTCATACCATTTTTATTAAATACGCTATAAAATGTTATCGATTATCTAGCAGTTACCTTGGCAAACTTAATTAAAAGCATTGTGATATCATTAAATAAAAAATAGATTTCAGACTGTAAAATTCTTTTATTGTGTCTAAATGCAGAATCAGATTTAATATTTCCTTATATAGAATTACTTGATTTTACAATTACAATATCTCTGGTAAAATGTTATGAGAGATAATATTATCATTTTGAATGAAGATCAACTTTGAAGCTTGACAGATTAAATAAAGGTACATAACTCTTTCTAAATTTAATGTTTCATTTATTTTTTAAATATGGTTCCCTCTTATTTCAATTTTCTATGTTAAGAAATCAATAAAGAATTTAATGAACATTTGATTGAAAAAAAAAACTGATGATTTTGTTTTCCAGAAAGTGTCTATTCCCTCCAGCCAGCATTTTAACTTACTTGACTACAAATTCTGTGATTTCAACCTTGATGATGACAACACATTGAAAGCAACCATCAGGATGTTTTTAGATTTAGACTTGATAGAAAATTTTAAAATCGATTATGAGGTAAACCTTTTTTTTATTGTTTGTTAAACATTTTAAAAGTTCATTGTATTTTTTTTCTGTAAAGCTAAAGTAACATACAATTTTGAATTCCAGATATTTTGCCGTTGGATGCTAAGCGTGAAGAAAAACTACAGGAATGTGACATATCACAACTGGCGTCATGCTTTCAATGTCACACAGACAATGTTCTGCATGCTGAAGGTTAGAATCTCTAAGAAAATTTTCATGAACTCAAGAAATGTATTTTGTTTTCTGCTTGATATGCAATAATGAATTATTTTTTTTAAAAGTTGAATAGAATCAGTGGAGATGTTGACTTTATATAATGTTTAAAGTAGTTTGGTACATTTTAAAAATATTTTTCAATATTTTTTTCTTTTCAACAAAGACAGGTCAGATGAATAATATCCTGACGGATGTTGAGCGGTTAGCACTGATGGTTGGTTGTCTGTCACATGATCTTGACCATCGGGGCACCAACAACCAGTTTCAGCATAAGTAAGTCTTTTGTTTTTTGGTAGTATTTCCCCACCTGACCCATCATTAAAAGGTGGTATTTCTCCACCTGACCTATCATTTAAAGGTGAAATTTTCCCCTGACACAATATTAAAATGTGGTAGAGGTCATATTTTCCCCACCTAACACATTATTAAAGGTGGTAGAGGTGGTATTTTCCCCCATGTAACAAATTATTAAAAAGTGGTATTTCCCCGCTGGACCCATCATTAAAATGTAATATAGGTGGTATTTTCCATCTGGTACATTATTTAAGTGGTAGAGGTGGTATTGTTCCCACCTAACACATTTTTAAAAGCTGGTATTTTTCCACATGACCCATCATTGAAAGGTGGTATTTCCCCACATGACCCATTATTTAATTGTGGTAGAGGTGGTATTTTCCCACCAACAACCAGTTCCAGCATAAGTAAGTCTTTTGTTTTTTGGTAGTTTTTCCACCTGACATACAGTATCAGAATGTCTCTAATATCATTTCAGAACCATGAGTCCTATAGCAGAGTTGTACGGCACATCCACAATGGAACATCACCATTTTGACCAGTGTATTATGATTTTGTCAACTAAGGTAATTCTTCTCCAACCAGAATATCCTATTACAAGTTTGTTTATTTTTGAGAGTTTTTTTACAATTTTTTTTTAACCATCATAGTTTTTAACTATTTACTAGATTATAATCAATTAAATTCATTTTTATTTTACACTCTTTCCATATATTTTTGTTTCTAAATGTGGCTTGAGTTTTTACAATTTTCTGTCTGTTCTTAAAATATTTTTTTACTTGGCAAAATTCATAGCTCATGCCAAAAAAAGAATTTAATTATTAACAATACTTCTACTTTCATAGGGAAGTGACATTTTCCGTAATTTATCCCAAGAGGCTTATGAGCAGGTCATTGTGTTGTTGGAAAGTGCCATTCTTGCAACAGATTTAGCATTGTATTTTAGGTAATGTTAAATCTAAAATAATTTGTAAATTAGAATGCATTCATTGTAAATTTATGGAGCTTATTTTTTATTGTTAAAATATAAACAAGCATTTTGATAATCTTGTTACACATAAAGCTAGAGTAAATTAAAATTTTAAAATTTTGTTTACTAGGTATAGAGGGCAATTTTTTCAACTAGTAAAAGGAGATAATCCTGATTGGACAAATGATGACAACAGAAATCTTTTAAGGTAATAACAACATTTTTTTCTAGTAAAAGACCCCTTTTTAAAAGTGAAAATACTTTTTAAATAAATGCAATTTATTATTTGAAATAAAAAATAAAAAAGGCAAATATTTTAGAATTTTTTTTTTCTTGCGGAGGAGTCAGATATGCAGAATGTGTATGTCATCACGTATATCAAATTATTTGTCCATTTAAGCTTTAAATATTAGATCAGTTTTTCTGCAATTGTTTGAAAATATTTTTAGGTCAATGATGATGACTGCTAGTGATGTTGCTGCCATCACAAAACCATGGGAAATTCAAAGAAAAGTAAGGTCAACTTATCAGTTTACAAATTAACTTGTCACTCTACAGACTTTACATGTAAACTTGCTTGTTGTTTGTTACGTTTAATAATAATAAAATCAATCCTGCTGCTAACCAGATTTTTTAAAATTGTTTTTTTTTAAAGGTTGCATCCCTTGTGGCAAGTGAATTTTTTGAACAAGGTGACCTTGAGAAGGAAAAACTAAAAGTGAAACCTATAGTATGTTTTTTTTTTACATTTTTGGTTTTATGTTTATTTAATTTGATAGAAATCACTCCCAAAGTCAATTTTTTTAAATTATTGGTATTATTTCTTTTAATTTAATTTGATAGAAATCTCTCCCAAATATTAATTTTTACATTTTAGTACTGAATTCTGCATGTAATTATTTTTCCCACAGTTTGAAAAACATCATTAGCCAGCGTGGCCTTGAAAAATAGAATGGTTATAATTAATGATAAAATAGTATTTGCTTTCTAGGTTTTTTTATGTCATAAAACTAAAATTTCCCATTAACAGTTCACTCTAAAAAGAAGTTTGAAACTTTTAATCTCAATTATGTTTTTTTGTGTACTCTATTTTGTCTACCTTTGATGTGGTAATGGTTGTTTGTAACGTGGTAGCTTCCCTTTGATTGATAGCTTCCCTTCACTCCTACAGGCTATGATGGACAGAGAACAAATAGACAAGTTGCCAGATTTGCAAGTTGGATTTATTGATGATATTTGTATGCCAGTTTATGAGGTAAGCTGGTCCCATATGCTTTTTAACTTGTACATCTGATTATAATTGCCATATCCTGTGTTAATTTTTTTTAATTATACTTTTTAAATACATTTTATTTAACAGATGTGAAGCAACTGGTTTAAAAAAAAGTTTTTACTATTAAAATTTATGCATTATGAAAAGTTTTAATTAAAAATTTTTGCTGGCAATTCTTTTATAAAATATTGTTTATAAACATATTTTCAGTATATATTTGTATCATATTCTACAGAAAATATATTTTAAATAATATCTTTCCATTGTAACTCCCAGGCCATTAGCAGAGTTTCTCCTCGGTTGTCTCCCTTGTTAGAAGGCTGCCAACAGAACAGAAGCAACTGGCTGATGGAATCAAGGGCAGTCAACAAACGTCTGGATGAGAAGAAAGTAGAGAACACTGACAAGGATAAGGACGAAGACAAGGAAAAGAATGAGGAAGAAGGGAAAGAAAAAGCAAACGAGGATGTCGGGAAAGAAAAAGAGAAAGAAGAGGAAGAGGAGATGGAGCTTGAGGAGGACGAGGACACGGTGGTGGAGAATGTGAACGTCAGTTACATTTCTGCTGAGTCGCACAAATCCGGGCGTGGCTCGGCCGGTGCGAGAGACGGCTGCAGCAGCAGCTACTCCGAGGTTGACGCCAAGCCAAAAATGTCAGGTCAGTCCGCAGATTGCCACGTGTACATTGGTGGGGAGGAGGAACTCATCTCGTTAGAAGATAGAAAACATTTGATAAACAGGGATGATTCCCTGCATCAAAGTGCCGACCATGAGAAACGGAAGCGGCATGACATTGAGCATTCTCCGATGAAACAGGAGGGGGGTAAGGTCTGGCTTAAGTCTGGCCAGAAGGGTTATGGAAAAACTAGTTCAGGTAAACGAAGAGGTTTTTCCTGCCGGGATAGGTCGCGAGGTCGGGACGAGGACAAAGGGAGTACATCTTGACAATTACTGCCCCGAGGTTGCCAGGTTTTGTAGAGAAAGTAGTTCATAAAATAAATGGTCACTGCATTGAGAGAGATTTCTTAAAAAATGTATCTCTTCAGTGTGTTAATTTCAGTTAATGAAATTTATATTTCAGTGTTACAAATATTTTTGTATGAAAACTAGTTATAGTTGAAGAAACGATAACTATTTTTTTTACCAGAAGATATTTCCCTCTCAGTGCAGTGTCCATTACCAATTTATTGACTGGTGATTGATAATGATTGGTTCTCAGGTCAAAAGGTATTTTTTGTAACCTTAGTTTGCTAGTGTTATTTTTAACCATATGTTTAGTTTAGCTTAGTTTATAATTACAATCTTACCTCAGTAATGCAGCAATTAAAATTAAAAGTGAATAATTATATATATTTGGTAATTATTATTATTATATTGGCAGGCTGTAAACAAGGTGTTTTTTTTATACTATCGCCACCCTTACATAGCCCTGACCAATCCTGACTCTTAATCTTAACCAGCAGTAAAATCACCACGACATATTTAGTCCAGCTTTTGTTTATAAGAATCAAACAATTATACAGTAGTGGTGGTTTCTTTTTGTGGAACAAAATCTAGTTTGCAGAAAAATTTTAGACCATTTCCTTAATGTAATTTTTAAGTGGTTCAATTAATTAGTTTAAAACTTTAATAAGTTTGACACTTGTAAAATTTATCTCTTACAGCCTCTGACAACACGTAATATCTTTCAGCATTTTTATCCTTTTTTGTTAACAGTTTATTTATATTTACTTAGTCAAGCACTCTATTCTAGCATTAGCAATCTTAGTCGCCTAATAACTAGTTACTGTAGTTTCTTTCATCAGAACCAAAATGTAACAGTTTTACCCTTTGATAGTTATCTTTCTTAAAATAATAAAGCTGACTTCCCTGTTTTTTACAAGACAAGCTATTTAATGCCACTCATCCCTGTTGATTATAAGAATTTGCTAACATTGGAGGTAACTACCATATTTTAGTTTTAAAATACAGTTCTATGTTTTTTGGGAGAATGTATATGACTTCTTTTTTTATTGATAATCCATTTAAAGTATTTATAACTTTAATGTAAATTCCACCTAAAGTTAAAAATATTCTATTGAAAGAATTTTTTGATTTATTGATGAACAAAAACAAAATTCATTGACAATTTAAAATAATAAAAATCTGTTCCAACCTCGCAAATATTAATTGTAACATGCTCACATATTTCATGTACATTTATATAATATAATTTTTAAAATTAATTCAAATAATCGCATAATTGATTTTAATACAATAACAATTTCTTATACTTTAACTAATGGTCTGTAATTTTAGTGATGTGTGATAATATTAAATACTAATAACTTCTTAATTGTGCAATTAGTTGTAGTTCAGTGGCTTCACAAGGGGGCGACAACCCCACTTAGTGAGGTAACACAATAGTATTTGTTATTTAAATGAGTGAGGGAAAAAATAATCTAATACTCAGAATATATAAACATGTATTGTATTGAAGAAACAGCATATCATAATTTTTACTATTGCAAGTTTCTATAGGATTTATCACTGCATAGTTAAGACTATCACACACTGAAAAATGTAACTTTGACGATATGTTATGACTTTAAAACCCCGAGGATTAATTGCTTTATAAATACATATTTGATTAGTTACAGATTTTAAATTGAGTAACATTTAGTTATGTTTGAGTTCTCTCTTTCAATGCTAGTTAGTGACTTAGTATGCCAGAGGTAATCTTACTCTTCCTTTCTTCCTCCCCAATGTGGTGATAGCCTATGATTAACCCTCTAATGAATAACCAACCATTCTACATGCTTTGGAAAGTTTCTTTTATGTTAGACTGTGGTCTTAGAGTTTAAAAGATGTAGACAAAGAGTGGATCCCACTAGCACTGAAATTATTTAAACAAAGCATTTATAAACTTGTTTAGTCTAAAATCAAACAAACCATTTTTATTTTTCATTTACATTAACCCCATTGACTGTATTTCAAAACAGAATATCTGGCATTTTGTTATATAACTTGATGGTAGCCATTTTATTGAGCTGTTTCATTACCATTTACTTCCCTTCCATATTAATGGCCTATACCTCTAAAATATTCAAATTCATTTTTTTTTCAAATATATTTGCACCCAATATATTAAAAGTATAAAATATATATCACATTAAGGTGTATTTATCTTGTTAAAGCCTAAAGTTTGAAGTGGGATTCTTTAAACTGAATACTCACTATCTATACCATTATAGTTTAAATATTAACAATATTATAGTATTCATCACAGCTTTATTTTTACCCTTATTTATTTATTTATACTTTGTTTCGAGTAAGATCTTGGATTATGATAATGTTTCGAGGTGAGATGAAGGGGCAGTCTCGGGGACAGCTGTAGTTTTTTCTTCAAATTTTATTTAACATGCTAAATAAATAAATTGTTCTATGTTATTTGTGCTACAGTCATTTATTTCTGATCCTTTTATACTTTTAAAATCTCAAAGTGCAAATATTTATACATGTAAATAGTATAGATTATAATGATAAATATATATATATATATATACATATATACATATATTGAACTTATAAATTATTTTGCTGTTTTAAGCTAAATTCACTTTTAGTTGTTTGCCTAGAGTGGAAGCTCACATCACATTTGTTATGTATAGTAAGATAAAATCTGATCACTTTTGCCTTGTATAAACTCCATTGCATTCTAGTGTGGTATCTCTATCAACCAGCTGTGTTTGTTATTAGTTGTTTAATCAGACATGTTTAGTTTTGTTTAATGTATTTATGTATTTAAGTTTTGTTGAAACTGATGTATTACTTGTTTCAAGTGACTTGAGTTCAACTTAACTGATGTGTGAGGTTAAGTTTAAACAATGGTCTTGTAGTTTTATATCATCTGTTTTTTTTCCCCATTGAAATTGTGAAAAAAAAAATGTCTGAGCACATGATACAAATCTTAGTTCAGCTAACATAAATCTTGGATCAATTATAAAATATCGAGTGAGGACCAGCCACTCTAAATCTGTCATTTGACTAATTTTATTTTGAACTTTAAAATTGCTAATTTATTTTATACTAGAAATGTAAAATCACCAAAATGGTTGCATTCAGCGGTTTTTATTACAGCAAAATTGTTAAAAAAAACATATTTTGATAGAATGCCTTGAAAAATTTATTATAAAAGGCAAAATGCCTAAGGGAAAATGTATTGAATACAATGTATGTACATTCTACATTTTTCTCTTGTCAGTTGGAAAATGTATGGAATACAATGTGTGGGTATTCTACATTTTTCACTTGTTTTACGAACTCATTTTAAGTTGATGGAATGAAATTTTGTTTTTCACTGAAAATCTTTCAGCTTTGTTTTGTAGATTTCTTGTCTCTAGAAATTGGCTTTTATTCTAGCTGTATATGCAGGTAGTTAGATATTGTTGGTTTTGTATTTAGAGCAGCAAAGATATTTTCTCTTATGTTTTGATACATGATTGCTATTTAAAAAATAATTGTTGACATGCATTGATTTACACTAGGTGTATGAATATCTTTTTTTTTATTCAACTTGCATGATGGAATAGCTGCTAGTAGGCAGTGTTTAAAAACATGGATTATCTTACAGAATAATTAGAGATGATAAAAGATGAAAACAAAATCACAACGAAACAAACATCTTTATTTTGAAAAACTTAAATTTTTATACTGTTTAAATTGAATGTGTTTTTGTATGATAGGGTAAAACTTCATTGATGATATTAATTATTTGTTTTTAAATTAATTAACATATTAGTATAGTGTGAATATTGTGGAGGTGAATTAATATGCAGAGTTTTTATTTTTATTTTTGGTATCCATCATTTAAATGAAAAAAAAAAGTTTAAAACTACAATGTTTTAGTAACATTGTAGAAAATACTTTTCATTATTACAGTTATTGTAAAAAAAACAGTATACCAAATACGATTTTACATTGTAATACAACTTGATTTTTAATGGGTTTTTTTATCCCAACCCAAATTAAAGTTGTGAAGGCCCCAAATAACCCAGTCATATAAATGACGTGAACTTTTTAGTGGTAAAAATATGGGGGCCAGTTGATTCTCCCCTCTAGTCAAATGTGACTCAGTGTAGACCAACAGCAGTATAAAACCATGCAGACCAACAGCAGTATAAAACCCTGCATGCTTACAGCAGTATAAAACCATGCAGACCAACAGCAGTATAAAACCATGCAGACCAACAGCAGTATAAAATCCTGCATGCTTACAGCAGTATAAAACCCTTCATGCTTGCAAAAGTATAAAACCCTGATGCTTACAGCAGTAGACAAACCTGCAGACAAAACAGCAGTATAAAACCCTTCTGCAGACTTTCATCTATTTTTTTAACCTTTGAAGTATTAGTGCACCCTACTTGACGCACCTACGCTTTTTGTAACGCACTCTTTGTACACAAGTTTATTTTATTATTTATTCACCTGTTAAATATTTAAGTAAGTTGCTTTTAAAGTGATACACATTATTTTTAAATTATAATTATTTAACCTTTTTAAATTAATATATTTAAGAATAAGTTTTTAAAATATTTGAACAATTTTTTTTGTGTATCTCCTGCACAACATGTTTTGAAGTTTACTTATATCAAATGAAGAGATGATATATTATATATAACACATGATTGCTTGTATGAAGCCAGTTTTTGCACGTGATCTGTGTGTTGATTGGGAAGATATTATTTATATAGTTCTTATGAAGTCCAGGTCCCCTTTCTCTCTGTGATATATCTCAGTGCTACGTCAAAGTGCTGGGAGTTATGCCCTGTGAGTGAGAGAGTTATGCCCTGTGAGTGAGAGAGTTATGCCCTGTGAGTGAGAGAGTTATGCCCTGTGAGTGAGAGAGTTATGCCCTGTGAGTGAGAGAGTTATGCCCTGTGAGTGAGAGAGTTATGCCCTGTGAGTGAGAGAGTTATGCCCTGTGAGTGAGAGAGCTTTGTCCTGTGAGTTAGTTATGCACTGTAAGAGATATGCCCTGTGAGTGAGTAAGGATATGCCCTGTGAGTCAAAGATATATGCCCTGTGTGTGAACTTCATGCCCTGTGAGTTAGAGTTAAGCACTGTAAGAGATATGCCCTGTGAGTAAGAGATATGCCCTGTGAGTAAGAGAGATGCCCCTGTGAGTGAGAGAGATGCCCCTGTGAGTGAAAGAGTAGTGTTTTGTGATTGATAGACCTGATGTTACACAACTGCTAACTGCACATGTAAATAGGTGCTAAAAAAATTTCAAAGTGCTTTTAACATGCTGTTTCCTTTATTTATTGCCACGTTTTCAAGTTAATTTTGTAACTTTTTAGAAGTCTCTTTTCTGTAGGTATTTCTTGTGTTGTATTAGAAAAATTACTTTTAAAAAGAAAATATGTAAATCTACTACTAAATGTTTATACTTTGTAAATGTGGGGGGAAAAGACAAGTTTTATCCAGGCAAAGTTTTGTACCTTCTTTTTAAATATCTAATTGAATTTTTTTTTTTAAATATTTACTTCCTGTACTTTGAAAATTACCGCAGACTTTGTCAATTAGGTTATCAAAAGACTCAAACTTAAAACGATTTTAATTAGTGCTGACATAAAGGCTGAGCAACATAACAAAAAAAAATTCTCCAACAAAATGTTAGAATTTCTAAAACGAGAAAATAAATAAATAAATGTTCAGTGGATCTTTTGAATACAACCAAGGGGACACCACCCATGATAAATTTACATACAATAACAAAATATACTCCTTGCTATTAGTTAATGCATTCTGCTCTATATTACACTAGATTTAAATAAGGAACGTTTTCTCTTGTATCACCTCGACATTTAATTGATAACGGAATGTAGACGCTGCAACACTGCTAATGGTTGTGCTAGGTAAAATGATTTTATGTCTGTTTTTTTGTGAGTCTGTTGTTTTTTTTTTATTTTTAAATTAATTTTATCTTAAAAGTTGTATATAATCGTATGCATTGTTTTATTTGAAAATATGGATCTGGGAATTTTGTGATCAAATTAAGGTTCGTTTCTTTTCCCTTAAAAACTGCTCCTGTTCATATTTTTAACATGTTCGTATCTCCCATCCTCCTCCTTATGCACTCCTCAATTAAAAAACTATGACATAATATTTGCTGATTCGTTTTCCTTGATTTTAATTAATGTCTTGTTTTTAATTAATGTCTTGTCCTTAGTTTATGTCTTGTTTCCAATTAATGTCTTGTATTTAATCAATGTCCTGTTGGTAATTAATGTCTTGTTTTTAATTATAATGTCATGTTTAAATCAATGTCTTATAAACGTGTTGAAATATGTTTCAGTGAAGTTCTGTTTAAAAAAAATAATAAAAACTGATTGCTCAGACGAAAGAGATTCGAGGCTGTCAGTATAACATCACTGCTCCCTCTTCCCTGCTACTATTTAAAGTTTGGTGATGTTTTCTTGCCATGAGAGCTGGGCAATACATAGTTTTCCAGTAGTCCTTTTATAAATGGGACGGCATTGTAGAGTTGCTTGATGTACGGTTACTTGGCCGGAGATCCTACCTGAGTTCACTCAGCTCTGATGGGTACCTAGCCACTAGTCGTGGAAAGAAAAAGCGCACGGGCTTAGTGTTGAACTCACGCAGTGTTTCTTTCAGACTTTTGTCTCCGGGGGGGGGGGGGGGGGGGTCGGGCGTACACTGGTATTTTCTATATAAATTCTATTTCGTTCGGGGCAGGAGGGGGGGGGCATTAGACGTTCATTTTTGTTAGTGTACGACTACTTTGTGTTTAACTTCATGTTTTTCTTGAAACTTTTAAAAAACCTGGCAATGCGGTGTGGGGGGGGGGGGGGGGGGAATTAATTGTGAAAACAGTTTGCGAACCTACATGTCAGATTACCGCAGCCAACAATTCTACCTCGACCTCAAACCTTCTCTGTTCAACTCAACCCCTCCCCCCAGCCCGTTAAGGTACAGGATTGGGGACCTTACGGTACCTTCCCGCGTCCCGCGCTATTGCGTCATGTCGTGCGCGAGCTGTCTGGCACTCAGTTCTGTGTTTGGTCGTCTGGTCGGCGGGTTTCTGCTGCGCCAGGATTTTTTTCTGCACTCGTCCTCACCTTTGTAAGTAGTTCCTTTTTTTAAATTTACCTATCTAAGTAGTTCCTTTTTTAGATTTTTTAGTTCACCAATGTAAGTAGTTCCTTTTTTAGAATATTTTTTTTTGTTCACCTATGTAAGTAGTTCCTTTTTTAGAATCTTTTTTTTGTTCACCTATGTAAGTAGTTCCTTTTTTTTGTTCACCAATGTAAGTAGTTCCTTTTTTAGAATCTTTTTTTTGTTCACCTATGTAAGTAGTTCCTTTTTTTTTGTTCACCTATGTAAGTAGTTCCTTTTTTTTGTTCACCTATGTAAGTAGTTCCTTTTTTTTGTTCACCAATGTAAGTAGTTCCTTTTTTTTGTTCACCAATGTAAGTAGTTACTTTTTTAGATTTTTTTTCACCCATGTAAGTAGTTCCTTTTTTTGTTCACCTATGTAAGTAGCTCCTTTTAGAATTATTTTTTGTGACACTTACACTAGTTTCGTTTTGAACACCGTCCATTGTGTACTATCAACTCTATGTATGAAAAGATATTTTTATTCAAAGAAAAGAAAAACATTTTTAATTGATAGGGTTATTATTTTTACGAAAAAAAATCATCAAATGAACCAGAGTATTTAAAAGCCCCTGAGCTTTGTTGAACTTTGGGCCTAAAAAAAACTGGCAAAATATGTGACATAATCATTGCAGTAAGCTTACTGGGAATTATATCTAGAACACATAAATACAAGCGATTTCTAAATGCATTTAAAGCATGCAAATTGTTTACATTCGACTGGAAGCAAATATAAATAAGAATTAAGGGGACGCAAAATACACTCGGGGTTAAAGTTAAAGCCTAATTGCCTCCCTTAAACAACGAGTATTATATTTGGATCACTCAAAGACGTCTTGGTTATCGAGTAGAGTTTCTTTCATGCATCTCTCTGGTGGGGGGGGGGTGCAAAGTGCCTCAATTTGGAGCACGCCCGCTGTTCTCCAAGTCGGGCGAAAAAGAAATTTACAAAGAAAATAAATAAATGTATACTTTAACAAGTCTCCGCCCTTCCCCCACCCCTCCCCCAAAGAGAGTACACCCCGGAGAAAAGTAACTGAAAGAAACTCTGTTCTCGAGGTAAAGTTGAATACCTCCGCCCCCCCCCCCCCCCCTAAGAGAGTACACCCCGGAGGAAAGTAACTGAAAGAAACTCTGTTCTCAAGGTAAAGTAGAATACCAAGCCATCTTGACCGGCCTTCATGAATCTTGTTGAGTATGGCTGGCCTGATGAACCATGATGTATTCTTCAGACAGAGATCGAACACTTCCGGTGTTAGTAAACGTGCGCTAGGTATAGACTAGAGACAAAAGGACAATGCTCGAGGGACCTGGGACTGACAAACCATAGCGGGACGATTAGGCTGTTTCAATTGGTTCGATGGGCCAAACCAGTCTACCCAAACACTGTACAGGCTGTCTCGATTGGTTCGATGGGCCAAACCAGTCCACCCAAACAGTGGCGTAGCGAGGTCGGGTGTCACCCGGTGCGGCACTTAATGGTGTCACCCCCCCCCAGAGGCGTAGCGACCCTCCCGGGTACAAACTTTCAAAATTTTCGATTTGCACCCCCCCCCCCCCCTCAAACTTTCGATTTGCACCCCCCCCCTCAAGTTTTTCTCTATATATTTTGCTATTTTTTGCCTTGGTGTCACCCCCCCTAAATGGTGTCACCCGGTGCGTTCCGCACCCCCAGCCCCCCCCCCCCCCTCGCTACGCCCCTGGACCCAAACACTGTATACAGTTAGACTGGCTCAGTTTCGCAAAATTGCTGACGAATTTTGCAGAGGCGTAGCGACCTATTTCGGCGCCCGAGCGAACTATCAAATTTCTGCCCCCTTCCTGGTATAAAAAATAGTTATTCTCGTTTGCGAAAAAACACCTCCCCCCCCCCCACCTTTTTTGGAAATGGTTGGGGAGGGGTGCTTTGATTATGATGTCACAAGATTGATTTAGATAACAGTTCAATCAATCAGGAGAGCAGTAATAGTCTATTTTCTGAACTTTGACTGCTCATAATGCAGTAATGCAGCTCTAAATGAGCTTTTTTATATTTTATCCTACCCAATTTGGCACCCCTTTAGAGTCGGCGACCGGGGCGGTCACCCCATCCACCCTCCCCTAGATACGCCTCCTGGAATTTAGTTCGTACCCTTTTTCTTGTGTAAACATTTAAGGTTTTTAGTTCATAAAGCGAATTGTTATCACGACAAGGATTATTTGTTTTCATTAACGTTTTTATTGTCGAGTGTCAGTTTTATCATGACGCCACTGATTTGTATAAAGAGCGAGGCGTAGGACCGCCCTACCCCCACCCCCTCCCTAACGCTCTTACGCGCATTATTTCGACTTTCAAGATCCCCTTAAATTGGCCACACAGACCTGCCTCAATCTGACCTTGTAAATCTTCCTTGTAACTTACCAGTCTCTAGTCAAGATCAGGGTTAGGATTATTTGTCCGAGAAAGGATTAGGATGAGACTGACACACGGATTACCGCTAGGATTAGGGTAAGAGTGGAGACACTACCAAAAAGAATGAGCTTGGTATTTTCATATGTACCAAACACGCCACAATCACCCCCCCCCCTCCACAGTACCGTAGAAACCTGCCCAAATGCTGATAACTAACCAACAAGCAATAAAACCCAACCTATGCACCAGATGACACCTCACCCCCCCCCCCCCTCACCCCCGGGGCAAGCTAATTGCTCCAGACACGACTAGCAACAAGAATAAAAACCCGCCCAGGTTGCGGTTAATTCACTCTAACTACCTGCCATACAATTAAGCGAGTACACACGATACTGATGAACAGAATTCACATCAACAACGACACTATATAATCGCATGAAAACCTACTCATTTCCGGGTATACCCGCATCAACAGATACGGGAATTCCCGAAAAAAAAGGGCGCCGGAATCTCGGCCATTAGATTTTTTTTTTTTACTTCTAGTCTTTCAACAGATAGAAAAAAAATGCCGTGTTTACACTAGTGTGCATGTTTATCCCGGGTACCCCCAGAGATAGAAGGCATGAGCGCCATACGTCCATACTAAAGTAAACAACGTAATTGTGCAGTAGCAGCAGTTTTCATGGCCCGTCTCTGGTCAGGCGGACGGAATGTGGAATGTGAGACTTTGGAGGGGTGGGGTGGGAAAAATTGGAAGAGGAGTGTTTCCTTCCTGTCTTATGATCAGAGGCAGCGACCATCCTATATAGGCTCACAGTATACATACATATATATATACATACACACACACACACACACACACATATATATATATATATATAAATAAATAAATAAATAAATATATATATATATATATATATATATATATATATATATATATATATATATATATATATATATATATATATAAATATATATATATATATATATATAAATAAATAAATATATATATATATATATATATATATATATATATATATATATATATATATATGTGTGTGTGTGTGTGTGTGTGTATCTGTGTGTCTGTATGTATGTATGTATAATTTGTCTGTGTATTACTAGCCTGTCCACAACGTTTCATTAGACACACTTCAGATACTGAGCTCGTAAAAATTACAATTTAAAAAATTCTTAGACCCAAAAGAAGATCAGGATGTTAACGACTCAATGTTGATCTACGAGTTCACCCTCCGCCCCCACCCCGCACCCTACCTCCCCAGCAAAAAAAAAACAACCTGGTTCCATATACACCCTCGCTTCCTGTGTCCCCGGGAAGTATAAGCCCGACATTTCTCCTCAGACTAATGGAAATAACGGATAGAATTTAGAGAATACTCGAGGAAAAAAATTGGGAAGGTTTGTTTAGCAAATACAAACTATCTTTCACTACATCTTAGCGCCTACTACACTCAACTGTGCAGAGGTTCATAGAATGTTTAAGATTATCTATTCTTTGTTTTCGTCCCCCAAACAAATCCAGATTTTTTAGGAATTCGTCACTAAAAATAAAAAGCATTTTTTATTTAATATGCTGACACGACGAGGTACCAAACAGAAATAGTTGTACGGGGGGGGGGGGGGGGGGGAAGAGAATGTAAGTAGTGTGACGCACGGGGGAATCATAGAAACGGAAGTGACGTATTAATCTCCTGTCTGAAACTAACCTGGACCCTTGTAACAATTCCGAAGGGACGTCGTGGTGGAATGGTTGAGCGTTTTGTTACTAGCCACAAGGTTTCGAGTTCGGATCTCGATGTAACAGAAGTATCTTTTTGCTATGTCGTTATTTCGGTTGTTTTGGACCCTTAAAATCATGGCGGCTCCTGATGCAAAACAGTCAGCCCCCCCTCACATCTAAACTCGCCACCTATTTAACAAGAAGGGAAAGACAAAACCTGCCCCCCCCCCCCCCCCCAAGGTAAAGGTGTGAGACTTTGAGAACCGTTACCCACGAATGACAAAAGTCTGAAGGTAGCGTGACATTGTCGGCTTTTAAATTTGAAATCACAAAAAAAAAAAATCAAACCCGTAAACTTTCAGTTTTCTTAGAGGAAAAAAACCTTTTTAGCTGTAAATGTGTTAATCTATTTAAGCTTTTTAAAAAAATCGTTTTCGCGGGTTTTTTTTTTTGTTTTTTTTTTTGCAGAGTCAGCATTTCCCTGAATAATTTCAATTTTAAAAAATAGATTCTTCTGTTTACAAATTTAAAGACACAAAACTGATACTTCGTATTTGTTTATCAAGGCTCCATCTATGTCTGTATTTAGATTTTAAAAGGTCAATTTGGTCATCGCCAGAAACGATAAAGTTAAGAATGTGTGCTGTTTCACTGCCCAGGAAGTGTTAGCTTTTACAAATGACTAAGATCTCGATTTCCGTTAGAATAAGATTGTTAGATTAGATTTCATGGTAAGTTTTGCAATAGTTAGGCGAGCGCAAATCTTGACGACCAGTGTTTCTTTCAGACTTTTTTCTCCGGCGGGGGCGCTTGAAACTTTCGATTAAATTTCCC